TTGTTATTATTATTATTATTATTATTATTATTATTATTATTATTATTATTATATTTTTTCAATAAAGCGACGAATATAAAGAACTTCTCGTTCTAATTAATTCCATTCGATTTTAAGTAAGATTCATTCGTGAAAACGTGCCAAGTGCTTGACAGTCGATGACGCTCTATTTTAAAACTTTCAGGAGTCGACGTGACGGCCAACCAGGATGAGATCTCAGGCCACGAGACGTTCCAGCTCGAGTTCGACCGGACGACGAAGCGTTGGTACGTGCGCACGATGCAGGACCGCTACTGGAGCCTCGAGTCCGGGGGTGGTATTCAGGCATCGGAGCACAAGCGTTCCTCTAACGGGCTGTTCGACCTGCTTTGGCAGCCCGAGGATGGGACGGTCGCGTTGCGCTCCAATAATGGCAAGTTCCTTGCCACCAAGCGCTCGGGCCACCTATATGCCAACGCTGACAGCGTCAATGCTGCCGACAATGACGTCTGCAAGTACTATTTCTACCTGATGAATCGACCCGTCCTCGTGCTGCGCTGCGAGCAGGGTTTTGTCGGGCCTAAGAGCGCCCTCAGTCCCAAGCTCGAGTGCAACAAGGCCGGCTACGAGACTATCATGGTCGAGAGATGCGAGCGTGGCATCGTCCGATTCAAGGGTACTTACTTCCCTTCCTCTATCGTTCAGCTTACTCGACTCCACGTCTACTATTCTACCTTCTCATTCTACCTTTCTCATTATCTCGTACTTTTGCTTTTCTTTTCAAATTAACACAACGCGCACGGATCGATGCTTTTGCGCGTGTCGTATTTAAACGTGTAGCTGGGTGTCGCTGGGTGTCGCTGGGTGTCGCTGACGTTTCACATCCTTACCATCAAGGATCATGACATTAACGTTAGTGCTTTATTTTATTGTTTTTGGATTTTATATGAAAATGCTTTAGAAGGTGACGAGTCTCTTTCTCTATCGCTTTCTGGGATAGTCGTACGATGAACATAGGCAAGTCAGTGATGGGTCAAGAGCGCTTTGAAAGAAAAATAATCGATCGAACGATGTCTTCTGCGATTTACGACTACGACTACGACTACCATCTCCGCCAAAATCGTCGACGTCAAGTTCTTCTGAAATTGAGATATTCTTACGTGCCGGCTATGCGCTACACGCACACACTTATATCCCTTCTATTTGTGCCTTCATCCGCGAGAAACAAGTCAGACGGGCGTTTTTCATTTTCGCTGCTTAACAGAATCCAGGCGCATACCTCTGTTAATTATTCTGCTTTTATAAATGATGTATTCTTCTATCAAATATTTTATAATTACTTGATCTGCAGCAGTTGTATTAATTTGAAAAATTATTGAAATAAAAATTTGGGAAATAAATAAGGCTTAATATTAGAAATTAATACTAGAAAAAGTGCTTTCATTCTATTATTTATCATTAAAAAATGGTAAGTGCATCTGTATAAATGCATATTATTGACTGTGTGTTAAGGTATCTCATAGCGGCCATAGCGTAAAATCAGCTCAATTTCTAACATTGAAATAAAATATTACAAACTGTAAGCAACCGCGTAATCTATTAATAACAATAGCAATTAATGTATTCGGTCGATGAAGCGACAGACTCATGCGCTCGTTAATTTAATCCGCTGCTTTCGCCTCTAAGCTCTCGTGAATCCATTACTCGGTACAATGTAACAACTTTCACTTCAATTTCCAGGTACGAATGGCAAATACTGGCACGCGGACAGCGAGGGTGTGAGCGTAGACGCGGAGCTCGCATCCTGTGGATTCTATCTGGAGCTGCGCGAGCCCTCGCGGCTCTGTATCAAGTCCACGGATGGGCGCTACCTGAGTGCTGGCAAGAACGGCGCCCTTCGCCTTGGCGAGACCGACTACGCTTCCGCTACCAAGTGGGAATTTTAATTTCTTCGACTTCTAAACTCTCTCTACGTATGCCGCATCTGCTTTAACGAATTCGAGGACATGATCACGTGGAGTAAGGAGAGGAAAGGAAAAAATGAGAGCCAGGATCTACATCACGAACTCGTCCTCGTCCTCGTCATTGCGCGATTTTTGTCTAAGATAGACTTGGAGAGGGGGGGGGATGAAGAGAAACGATAACGGTAGCAAAGAGATAAAAGATATTTATACGCAAAGCGAAATAATCCATATGCATGGTGTATTTGGTACGTGATGGGCGAAGCACGGTATTTTTTTTTATACGCGTGTGTGCAATTTGGTATTCCGCAGAGCCCCGTACACATGCATTCGTACACTTCGGATACGTTTGGATGGGATCTTATTTTCTTAAGCGATCTGCAAATACGTTTTATCCTTTTATATTACTCTTAAGCTTAACAATACGTAGAATTTCAGATCTTTGTCATTGAAATCGATTAATTATTTGCTACACGTATTTATCTAACAAGTATACTTAGCAATGTGGGCGCTAGTGAGACAACTGGAACGGGAAATCGACAAAATTAATCTATATTTTATGTTTTAATCCTACATTTTTATTGTTCAATCGATACCCTTAAGATCAATCATGAATTTGTTAAAAAGATTGAAATTAAATCCTTGAATGGAATATTATAAAAAGGATATTATTAACGATAATTTTTACTAACGATATTATTAACGATAATATTTACAAATATAAAATAAGATTTCGTTGGGATGTAGCACCTTTTGCGGAACAAATAAAATATTATATTGCGATTAACGTATTAATGTAGAAATTTTTATATCTAATAATAATATTTATTATGCATTTCTACGAAGTATATACGAATAAGCTAGTAAAGGGCGATATAGCGTTCCGTTTTTATATTACTTAATGTGGTTGTTAGAAAAATAGGATACCACCTAAATGCACCCTACATTTTTTAAAAATTTTTATTGTCGAAATTGCATAAAGAATATAATGCATCTCGTCTTCACAGTTGGCGTGTATTGAGAAATTGAAATAAATTTACTTTTCATAAAATTCTATTCTAAATAATAAGCTCAACTCGCGGCGTCACATATGTGTGTATATATGCTCGCGGAAGCTAACTTCGAATCTATCCATTCCAATTCGATACGATATATATAAATATATGTAAACATTTATATATATATATATATATATATATATGGATACGCATACTTACGTGCATATATACTTATATTTATAAATTCATACACACACGCGCACACACACACACACACACACACACACCCACACACACACACACACACACACATACATCCACACTTGCGTGTATATATATATATATATATATATATATATATATATATATAAATGTTTACATATATTTATATATATATGCGCGCATATGCATACTTACATACATATTTATGTATACATTACATTTTTATACCAAATAGACGTTATTTAATAGCGAGTTCGTTAATAAAAATATGTTATGAAAGAAACAGATTCAAGAAATGGAAAAAATGTTTTTGTTTTAATTACATTGTGCAGTTGTCGAAAATAATTTTTTATCGATATTGAAATTAATGAGTTGCGATGAATTTACATGCGTCGGTCATTGCATTTTTATAATGATCGTTTATTGAAAGAACTTGTCTGTTGTGTATATATATATATTCCTGTACTTAAACTCTACGATTTTCTACTACTCTTTGGCTAAGTAAATATTTCATACTAACGTTTATCTTTTTTAATATAAATTATGGTATAATTAATAATAGAATGATGGCGCCAGGTTATAATTATATTGTTTTTATAAAGGAGAAAAATAAGTAGAATAAACAATGATTACAATATTTTATTTTTTGTGTCGAGCGTTAGATATTTGAAAACTTTATAATCTGATGCAAAAATCTTATAAAAGTGTCTCTCTTATTGTACTTTACTTATTGTTCATCGATACAAGGAACGTAAAATATTTCACATTAAAAAAAGAAAAGAACTAAAACGACGTGTTCTAACTTTGTAAAAATAATAAATGGTTTTTATGGAAGGTAACCAATAAGTGTACTCTAATATATATTTATGTTATATTTTCCTGTCATGCTCTTAAAATCTGAATTATTTATATTATTTATTTTGTAAGAAAATTTAAAGGAAAAATTTCATCATATTTGTTAAATATAATTTTTATTCTATATGTTTTATAATTATTTTACAATTCAATTTCATAATATTGAATTAAGGTGGCATAAACTTTACATGTTTCAAGTAATTCCAATGTAAAGTATTGCTTTATATCTAAAATTTAGAAAAATTTTTTATTGCTCTATAATTATAATAATTGATTTCAGTATTTTTATTTTTTACATTATAAAAACTTTTAAAACGCTCTATACTGTACATATAAAATTTTACAGTTGTTTTGCTTTTGCTAATATGGTTTTTAAATCAAATAAAGGAATCAATATATCAGGCAATTTATTGTAAACAAATATAATGCCTTCATAATAAATGTAAATACACGATATAATTTTGTATATTAAAAAGTAGTAAAGACATAAGATTTTAAGTTAGCTTTAAAAAATAAATTAAATATATATATATATATATATATATATATATATATATATACATATAGTTAAACAATAAATTAAAATAAATTAGAAATATAATTCAAGTGTCCATTATTCATGTTAAAATTTTAATAAGAATACAATTAATTCATATAATTACCAAAATTACTGCTACTGTATAATTAAAATATAAAATTAAATATTAGAATGTAATTTCTTTATATTGAAATATAGATAAAATTTCACATACTTGTGTTTTTCATGTATTTTTTCAAATTAATAACTAATATTGAAAAAAATTTATATAAGATCAAAATTCATATATGGTAAGATTACTTTAAAAACAAATACATTTATTTATAGTTTGAAATAATTCTTATCTGTATAGTAAAGGTAATTGAATTATCAAGTATATAATTTAAAAAGTTGCATATTTACTATTAGAGTGTATGCCAAACAAAAATATAATTATATTTTCAAAATAATGTATATTACAAAAAATTCATAAACTAATTAATTATGCATCCATTAAAAGCTAAAATTTCTTCTATTTTTTAATTTTGTTACTTATTTTACAAATTTAAACGCGTTAACATTTTACTGTAAATATCAAATTTAATTTTTTAAAAATATTTTGTATAATAATGATATTTTTAATAGAAAATAAATTCAAGACTATAAGTAAAATATTGATTTTAAATTATATAAATTTATTAACAGTATTTATAATTTCTTATTTATTATTATAATGTTTTATTTGTATAATTTTTTCATAATAAAAAAGTAATTAAAAATAAAAATTATAACAGAATATATCAATATATCCAAAATTCAAAAAATCTTATTCAAATAAATAAAAAGAATCGTCTATCTACTATAAATTTCCATACATTGTTCTTTCTGGTATTCTCTCCTAACCATACGTCTCTGGGCTCTTGCTTTTAGTGTTGTTTGAAATTCTTTGAATATGATATCTAGTATTGGATAGAAATAAGGTAACAATTTAATATTCTTCAAGCTAATGATCATAAAGTCATAAGCTATTCCAACAGACTCCAAGCTTTTGTCTTTTGGTAGAACTGGAAGTTTACTGTAGCGTTGTGAGAAATGTGTAAGAAGGATGAAGTCTACTTCAGCTTTCTCACCAACTTCTATAGCTTGAGATATTGTAGAATGACGTTTCATTGTTGCCTCATGCTCTAAATCGTCTTCCATTGTTGCCTCATGAATAAGAATGGAGCAGCCTTTCGCAAGATTCAGCAAAGTATTGCATGGCATTGTGTCTCCACTGAAATTGTTAATTACTAATTAGTTTTTTATTAAATAATTACTCTATATTATTATTTATGATTTAACAAATACTTTAGTTTTCAAATCAATTATTAGAGTTCGTAAGAGATTCCAATAATAATCTATTCTCAGTTTTTTCTTTATTACACACACGCATATATATATATATATATATATATATATATATATATATGAAAGTACTTAATGGCCTTATAAGACAATTTTTATTAATAATAATTATTTAATTTAAAATTCATAAAGAAAAATAATTTTTTTTTTTAAAATGAATAATGACATTAAAATATTATTATTAATTTATTAAGATTAATATTAATATAATATATAAAATATTATTATTAATACATTAAGATTATTTATTAATTTATGAATCTCATCTTAACAGCTGCTTATGTATAATTAATACATTTAATATTGACCTGTAACATATGCTCTGTCCATCATTTAAAGTTATTAAAATTCCATATGCAAATAGACAATGCTTTACAAAAACTGTGGATATTTTAGAAATGCCTGTGGCACTATATAAAGCTTTTGACAATGACGATTGTAAAATTTCTTGCTTCTGTAAAAAAGCTTTATTATTAATGAATTTATATTGTCTATTAATGGATTCAAATTTGCAGTTGTAGAGTTCAAGAAATGATGAGATTTGTTCCGGAGCTAGTAAAAATAAAGGCTCATCTGTGACTTTTTCTCTATGCTTTAGGATCCCAATAAATCCTAAGTGATGATCAGCATGTAGATGTGATATGTAAACAGCCTGAAATTAATTAAAATTAAGTTATTTATATATTTGAGTTGGGAGAGAAAACTTATATTATTACTTTTCATATTGTTATTACTTGTTGAAATCTTTTTTCTAATGATAAATTTATTGTGAATTTTATATTTTATAGTAATTATTAATAATAATATTTATTCAACAAATATAATGAATAAATATTTTTCAATTAAAATATTTCAATTAAATTATTTAACAAATAGTGAATATTACTATCTATTTTTAATATCATGTGTATTATTTTAAAAAGATACATATTCTTATAAGTAAATATACATAAAGCAGAACATATTTTAAAATATGGTTTCTGTAATATATAGAAACCTGTACATTTAAAATTTTTATATTTTTAATATTTTATATTATTTTAATATATATATATATATATATATATATATATATATATATATATATATATATATATATGTATAAATATATTCAAAAGTTGATTTTGATGAATTTTGTACTTTTAAAATTTTTAGTTAGAATTTGTTTACCTTAATAGTTTTCAAAATTTTATATCCTTCCGATTCACCAAAAAATCTCATAATTTGACCTACAGTTCCTTCTCCACAATCTAAAATTATACTTTTTTCTTCATCTATTTGTAAAAGTATGCCACTAGTATTTCTAATTTTATTTGGTATAGAGGAACCAGTTCCTAACATTAATAGCCTTGGATAACTTTGCACATCTTCTATTACTTTTTCTTTATTATTTAATTTTAATTTTAAATCTGAAATAGTTTTATAATATTCTGGAACATCGTGTGCTTCATTAATATATGTTTGTGGCTCTATTTGTACATTAGTTTCTGAATTCCATCCTGTAAATGGTCTTAATGAAAATGTATTCAAGGTCTTGCAGCGATGAATAATAATTTTCTTTTCTTCCTGTTATGAAAAAAGAAAAAATTTTCAGTATATCTATAATTATATTATGGATTGAAATTACAAAAGATACAATAAGTTTTAAAAAAGATATATAGTACTTTTATGTATTAAATAATTTAAGTGTTTTAAACTTACAATATGTTTAACATACTTACATAAGAAGTACCTAGTTCGATATTTTTGTCTGTTTCAGATTTTGGAATTTCGTTTATATAAACATTATCTTCAAGATTTCTGTCACTATAGTTATTCAAGCTGTGATTATCAAAAAGAGGAAATATTGTAGGATGTACTAAATTAAGCTTATATTGCATTTTATGAATAGATTCACTAGAAAAACCAGTATTTTTTTCATTTATTATTAAATGTTCAGTTTCTGCACCGAATTTTTGCATCCACTCTATATATTTTGAATTGTTTAGTACATTCTCAGGTGTAAAATGTACTATAACATTAACTATTTCATTCTTATTTGTAATAGAATTTTCTTGATACTTCATTAAAATTGAATTCTGTACAATCGTATCGATCCAATTTTCATTAGGGCATTCCATAACTGAAAAGATAATTATTTAAAATTAATGGAAATAGCATATATTTTGATATTACATTTAATGTTTGTATTTGAATTTTATTTTTCAAAAACTTGCATGTTTTTTACATTTTAACAATCTTAAATTGTTTAACATATTGAAATAAACGTATTTTTAATTAAGGTTAAGGAATATTTCATAAACATGTTGTAACATTTACCAATAAATAAAGGGCCTCGTTCAGTTTTCGAGGTTACTTCTTCACTTTTAACAATTTTCCCATTTGGAAGTGTTATATCTAATCCAGATTTTAATAACCCCAAATTTGGTCCAGGCTCAACCCCTGCATTAACACATTTTTCAATATTTAAAGTTCCTGTTTTATCATGTATTTTACAAATATAAATCAGCATATTATCTGCATTCTTTTTTAAGTCAATATTATTAATATAATTGCATTGATTACAAGGCGAACGAGATCTTTTACCGTTAGAGTTAACCTTGTGTTTACAATTATCTATAAATTCATGATCTATTAATTTATGATCGTTTGAATATTCATTATTATTCTGTATTGAGATAGCAGTAACTTTCATTGTCTTATCGTTAAATTGTAGTGATGTATTTGCAGGTATAATCTGTATCTTATTCAAGTTTATAAAATATTGAGAAGCACTAAATAGTTCGTTTATTATTTCTGGTCCATGTAGATTAAGAAATGGTACTCCTGCATCTTGTATTGTAAGCGAAGTTCCTAATATACCACCGATATTGTTCCATGAAGCTTTTGTAATAAATATATGTTGTATTTTTGTAAGTTTTGCATGATGCTCTGCTGCCAAACGTTGAGTACCTTCTCCACAATTGAATACATAATTGATATGATCGGTAATAAGCATTACGCATCTGGGTTCTGAAGGACTTCCATTGCCAATTACCTATTTATTAAATATATATTAAATATTTTTATTTATATTTTATATTAAACAGTAATATTTATTATCTTTAAAATAAAGCTAAAAAATATGAGAACGTTAATAAAATTTAGAATATTTTTTTTTGTATTCTTAATCATTTTTATTTCTACGAATGTTGTCAATTATAATTAAATTTATATTTAATAAAAAAATTTCGTTATTGATTAAAAATTCGTATATGTAAATTTTTAAATCATTTAATATATTTCAGTTTACATTAATATACAAACATTCGTTCATAAGAAATTGGTTTCAAATCTTAAAATATTTATCAGTTTAACAAACTAATAGATGATATTGGTAATTACTATTTCATTTACTCATTGCACCATTGACTTTTACTTTTTTATTAGTTAATGCAGAATTAAATCAATTGTTCTTTATTATAATTTTTACTTAGAATTACAAATTAATTTACTTATCGTTATTAATTATTAATATTGTTACACAGTAGTTTTCATATACCTGTAACTGAATTCGTGATGGTTTATATTTTAGATTTTCACGTTTTTGTCGGCTACGTTGCTTTTGCAACGTATATATATAGTCTTTATTAGTTGTTGACATTGTATTTATATGACGATAATTTTTATTCACGTCTTTGTTTAATGTTATTATATTATTAAATAGCTTTCGATAGGAATGAAATTTATGAAAATTCATTCGTGCAAATGAAATTCTGTCCGTATAAAAAAAAATTCACTGGATGCACATTATTTCAATATAAATAAAAATAGTTGGGCCGAGGTATAACCCTATTACGATTTCTAACCTTACTCTAAAATTACTCTTAAAACAGATTAACGTGTGTACAATGATCTATTGTACAAAACACAGATTACGTACAATATATTTTAATATTGTGCTGTTAAATTACAAATTATAATATACAATTAACACCATTCTCCTACAAAATCTGTAGGTAAAGATGTTGGTTTTCAAACGTATGGAAAACTTCCAACATAATCTATTGTATAAACGAAGTCAAAGGATATAAGAATGTTTCCTGATATAACTTTCATTACATTACATTTCATAACATTACAATGCATGTTTTTAACGTTTATTGCATATTTTTACCGTTTATTATACTGCTAACAGCTTTATAATATTTAAATTAATTTAATATCTTATAAGATAATTGTAATATCTAATAATTTAATAGATGTAATTAATTTAATTTCTTATTTTATAATATGTCATTTTAATTGTAAATTCGCTGCTTAAAAATATTTATAATGAAAAATAAATGAAAAATTAATTGTTAAACAGTTTGCCTATCATTATTATAGAACATAGATCGTTAAATAAGTATGTCAAGCAAAATAATGCACAATTATGTATGACACAATAGTATTTGATTAAGAATGTGCATAATTTATTATATTTTTTCAGAAAGCAATTCATAAAAAACAAAGCAATTTAAAATAAGATATAATATAGATTAAGTATAATTACCTGTGGACACTCATTTCACTTCATGAATAGAGGAGATTATTTGTTTTCTCTTATTTATTTATTTTTTTTTTTTAATGTTATAAATTAATTTTCTTCGGCTATATTTTTAAATGATTAATTAATAAATGTAATTTATGAAACATAACGATATTCATTCAGTTTTCTTTTGAGAGCGACGATTCCTCTTGTTTAAATAATTTTGAAATACTGGTTTTAAATTAAAATTAAATTGTTCATTGCATTGATAAATAAAATTCATCTATAGACTCGGCATTTAAAATACTAAATTCTAATGTTAAAAGTTATAAAATTATAATTTATAAAAGTGTTTAATGTTATAAATTTTAGTAGCAGTGTGATATTATTGCATTAGCGAAAATTACATATAGACTAATCTGGAGTTTGTGGTAATTATTCCGCTAGTTAGATACGTTTTCATAAAGATCGTTTTTAGATATCAGTGCAACTTTTTATTTTTTTGCTATTTTTATTCAATATTTTTAACAGTTCATTGTCTATGATTGGTTATTGATAAACTTGTATTTTATAATTGGAGTGTATTATAATAAATTACCATTTGAAGGTACATAATAAAATTTGATACATTTCCTTTACCGACGTAGCGATTTTTCTTGAAAGAAATACTTATTTCCAAGAAATGCATTGCACTTAGTCATACGATTAAAAAATAACGAAATAAGTGCCAAACCGAATAGACCGAATGTCTTATTTCAGTATTTCAAATATGATAATCGAGTAATTATTGCGATTACATCATAATAACTACGGCATTCGATCCATTGGTATTTTTCGGTTTTATTTTAAAACTAATATTGACTCATATTTAATATATTTAATTTAACATTGGTAGTGCAATATCATTTTCAATATTTAATTTTCAATGAAAATATGTAGAAAAGATCAAAGATGTACATTAAAACTTAGCTTCGATACTGGCAATATTATGTTACAGTGATCATATTTGAATGACAGTCTCATATTTAATGGTACATAGTCAACCAATGATATATAGTTAATTTATAAAGCATTAAAATAATAATTTAATTTAACAATATAAGATTATAACTTGTAGGATCAACTACAGAACAGTGAACATGACAGTGAAGTTTCAATTATTTTGACATGAATTAACAACAGATATAATGTTCGAAAAATAATATATTATTTTCATATTAATTAGTTGATCAATTACTAAGTACTGGATAGTCATACTGCATAGAAGAATTATTTGAAGATAAAAGTACGCTTGCATATGCTCGGCTCAGTCGGACTTATTAATAAATCGTGTTAATTTTAATTCTTTATCATAATGAAATTGATACCACGACAGTTTATAAAGGCTACGAACATTAATTTTGTTAATCAGATGATCTCGTGAATGAATTATGAAAATTTCTTTATGCGCATGAAAAGGAAAAAGTTATGTTGATCATCGTATCATATTTTCGCTTCGATGAATTAAAATATTCAATTGTACTAATCCTATTCAATAATACTAAGTAAAGATATCAAAGTATTGACGTAAATGCTATATATTTCTTTTGTATGAACGCAGTAAATGTATTTGTATTTTTATATAATGTTGATTCAAAATCTTCTGCAAGATTAAATATTTAATTTTTAAAATTTTTTATTCTTAACGCCCAGAGTTTTTTATTAGTTCTAATTTTTATGAATGTCCTCACTCAGTAAAATTAACATATATTCTTCTTAATTCGTAAACTAAAAGCAATTTATATTTATGATAAATTCTTTAATAAACAAATATATTTTGTTTTAAATTATAATAAATTTTTCAGCATTTAATAATATCAATTATGTATCATTTTATCAAATAATAAAGATTAATTCATTGTTGAATAATAATGTCCATTTCTAGCGCATCGTAAAACTATTTATTGTATTTATTAAGGATGTAGCATAAGTTATGTAGCTATCATTTGAGAAATCATTTTATATTACTTATGGAAAGTTAAGAAGAATATAAGATTCGAAAATAATATTAAATTATTGACAAATCGTTGATTATTTATTTTTATTATGATTTGGATAGTTTAATTTGTTAAATATTTTAGTTTATTATGAAATTTGGAAATCATATGTTAACTTTTATTTATTTTTATTTCTTTTACTTGAATACTCATATTACAAATAATCAATTTATAATATCTATACTATAAATATCGATCTTAAATTAATTAGAGAAAATAGTTTGTTAAAATTAGAATCATAGGCGGATATACAGAAATGCATTTATATAACATCAAATAATACTAATATAGTTGTATTTATTGCACCCGCTTGTATATACAATTCAATTTTAGCTAGAGGAACAAGTGTAGAAAAAATTAAGTTTAAAAGATGAATACACAAAGTAGCTGATGAACTTAGGTATGGTAAATTTATTTACAAAAATGAAGACTGGAATTAATGAATACTTGATGAATACGTTGACCATCTCACCTATTGAGTATTATTGTTATTTTAATTTAAATATGTATGTAGTTACGGTTTAATTAAGTTTCTATAGAAAAGAGAATGATGTTATTAATATAATAATTATTAAAAATGGACTTTTTAATAAATATTATTGGTATTAATTACCTATGAATATGAAATGTTGAAATTTAAAATATGAACATTTTACGTTTAATACACTTGTAATATATATTATTATGACGATGTTTAATTACTTTACAAAAAATTTATAATAAATTTATAACAAATATAAATAAAAAGAGTAGGATTTCTGTATCCAAGTAAAGTTTATTTTATACTAAACATTCAGAAAAAAAAAAAAATAAAAAAAATATTTGAGTATATGTTACATATGAAAAAATATTAGATGGGATATTAATCACGATGAAATCAAAATTAATGTAACAGATGATTAAAATCTTTAATTATTGTAAAGAGGGAGGGAGGACGAGAGAGAGAGAGAGAGAGAGATCGTGTTTAGGTGTGTGCGCGTATGTGATAAAGCGAAGAAGCGAGGGAGAGATCTATATTAAGAAACATTATAATATATATTAAAATATTTGGCAATTTTAATCTTCTTTTTACAAAAATCATTGTATTGTTAATTATAATTAATTGAATTAATTGCTTAGAAACATGTATGTGATTTAGTAGTGATTTAAAATATTTATTTTATATTAATTTATTCGCAAATTCTAATGTTTAAAATATAAAGAACATTTGGATTTTCTCTAATCTTTATATGCAGAAGAAGTACAATGTAATAATATATCTGGTTATATTTATGAAAAATATAAATATTTTAAGAAAATATTTATCTTAATATTTAATAATAATTATGACAATAACAATAATGCTATAGTAATTGATATATTTTGCAGGAAGGAAGATTGTAAAACATGTTCAAAGTTGTAAGAGTGATTTACAGATTGTTAAAAAAAAATTTTATTAATTTCAGACAAATTATTGTCTTTATTTGTAATGTTGCAAAAGTAAATATAACTTTTGAAGGAAGATCGGACTCGATATGGATTTTAGAATGACACAGTACCTTGATGACAACCCTGGAAGCAATTGAAAATTCTTATAAATGTATAAATTGATCGGGAGGCTAAATAAACACCAAATGAAAATACAAAAATCAAGAATAAAATGACGAAGAATAGGATTTAGAATAGGAAGGAAAAGAATGTGAGCAGTGGTGTAGGACAGTTGTACACTCGAGGCAGTTCGAACATTTTAGATGCCGGGGTCGCCGGCAAGGGCTGCCCACGCAAGTGTTCGGCGATTGTGGAGGGTTATGGGGGGGGGGGGGGGGGGCCGTGGCGCCCACGCAATCGATACCAAAAGCCTAAGGATTCACGGGGCTGAATGGACTCGCGGCCGGGTGCGCGCGGCCTTTTGCCCGTATTAATCAATACGGTCGGTGGCGCGGGCGGTGCTGCCCCCGCGGCCCATCGACCCACCCAGCTGTACTCTTCATTCATAAATCTTCGACTGATTCGCAGCTTTGTGACTCTTCTCTCCTTTCTTTCTTCTTGGGCTTGGTGCGCGCGCTGCCTCATTCATCCAGAAGTTACGGAGCGTCAGTTGCATTGACTCATTCGATAGCGTGGATACCTTTACAAGGTGTTTAAATTTGTGGGCTCAATAAATTATTTATTATCTTTAGGCCATAACGATGTTATAGGAGCATTGTTGATAATAATCAGGTAGAGGGAGAAAGACTATTTTGTGCGTCTGCTTGTGCCTATATTAGGAGGATGAGGTAAAGAGGGATAAGTTGACCAGAGAAAAATTTTCTCGCAATCTCAGTTTATGGATTAATTTAATAATAAATATTTACTATTGAAATATTTTTAATTTTAGTAAAAAATATTTCAGTAGGATTTATGAAAATGACTTTTAAAAATGCTCTAGTTTTTTCTTTCAAGGTAATATGATTATTTGAATTTTTATATAAAATTCAAGATATAAAATAATCATGAATTTGAATATAATAATAGACAAAGTATAAATAACTATCGAACTTTTATTATTGATTAAATATTTATGCAGTTTATTCTTTTGACAATTGACTGTATTATTTAGCATTTAATTATACATATGTACGCGCGTGCAAACGAAGCTGGTGCGATGTAATATAATATATGAATGGCCCTTATAAAACGATCTATAAAGCTTCCATTTGATCTCTCTTTCTTGATAACTATCATGATTAATGATCGTTGCTCAGGATTTTGCAGCATAATCAATGTAACATGAGAATTTTTTGGATTTTATTATGATTTTTAAGTGCAATTTATGAAACTACTGTCATTCAAACTTCCTATTCTGAGAAATACTTATTTTTTCCATATAATTATTACGACAGTTTTATTAATATCATATCATAACATAAAACATGACATTTTAAAATTATTGAAAATAAGAAAATATAGTAATGAAAAATGGTATGTAAATATGAGTTAAATAGTTAGTATAAATCATCAATTAATTTGAATTTATTGAAAATTAAAGTCGAAAGTTTTGTACATGTAATTATTTAAGTTTTATTGAAGGCTTGGTTTATATAGTATCAATATTCATATTTATTTATTTATTTATTAATTAGTATTATTAGTAATATTTTATATTTGTTTCTTAGTATTTTTAATTTATTAATTATTTTAAATCGTTCTTAATAATAAATAATAATTATTAACGATATATAATTTATACCTTACCCAAGAGAAAATATAAAAAATATTTTAGTATCTATAATATTTAGTATAAGTATTTAAATTTTAATAATTTTCATTGTATGTATAATACTTATAAATTACAATATTTTATTTTATACTTATACAATATATTGAATCACATAAGAGCGAGCAATTTTTTTTTAGCTTAGTTTCTGAAAAAATACATATTAGTAAGATGAAGCTTGACAAATATGTCTGAACTGTGTTAAAATAATATAATGATAAATATTTTAATATAGATTAATTTTTTTAATAAATTCGGAATCACATTCGACTCTCAATCGATCTATAAATATAAATGATATACTAATATTTATACATACTTGTTATTAAAAATGATAAATCACATTACTTTAAAAATATATTAATCTAACGTATGAACTTTTTCTATTAACGGTTTGTTTTTTTATCTTTGTCAAAAAATAACTTTTCCTTAATATTCAAAATATGTATTGACGTCAGAGATAATATCTTCAGTGGACGAACATTTTTTCACAGTTGAACAGAATATTAAATTTATAAATGAATAAAAGTTTGTTAAAATTAATTCTAACTATATATTTAATGAACAATTAATAATTTAAAGGGTAATTTAAATTTAATCGTTGTTTTACCGTTGGAATATTTATTGTATAAGATAGCGCATAATTAGCGCAAACAATAGCGAAATAATTATTATAATTAATATACTTATAAATTTTTTCCACAAAATAAAAATTTACATTTATGCATTTAAAGTTAATTTTATAGTTAGGTAGTTGATTTAGAAAATTGTAAAAATTTTATGGATTTTATCGTTATATTCTATTACGAAGCGACATAATTGGTACCTAATAAGAGTTGGAAGGAAGTGCTTGATCATAACTTCAGTGTGAGTACTTCAATAAATATTATACTTTATAGTTCATAAAAGTTTAATAAATCTATATGGCTTACTTTCAAAGTCAAAGGTATTTCAATGTATTAATTACTTTATTCTAGTTCAAAAGGTGCTCGATTACTTCGGATTGACCGAAGCTAGATGGACAATAATAAATTAAACCAGGTTAGTAAGTACAATTATATTTACGACTTTCCTCTTAAAATGTATGGATGCGTCGTAATAGCTTTAAGATTTAAACGTGGTTTGCAATTAAAATGTTCAAAAGATTTTTATTGCGAATTTATTTTACAATATCAATTAGGATAATGCTACAAAAGTGCGAAGAAAATCTATTATGAATAAATTTTAGAATGCATATAGAATATAAATACATAGGCGTTTGTTGACAATATAATATTATATATCTATGTTAATAAGTAAAATAGATTTTATATTCTTTTAAAATTTACATAATAACAAATAAATTTTTAATAGACAAATTCTAGAAAAGATTGATTTCTGTTTAGAATGACGTTTAAAGGTAATATCGTCAAATATCTTCTCGTCTTATATTTTTTTATGTATTTTTTCTTTTTTTATTATTAATTTTTATGTATATTATAAAAAATTTGCCTTAGGTAATATTCTATTTATATTATAAAAATTTACTGGTGAATGCAAATATGTAACAAATAAAATATTGTTTTTAAAAAATAGTGTTATACTTTTTTTAAAATGCATTTTTACAAATTTTAGTGGAATGCAAATGGTAATACTGAGTTATGAATATAAACATTTTAAATATTGAATATTACATATTAAATTTCATCCAAATTTTATAAAAAAAAAAAAAATATTAAATATACTTGAATATTGAACGTAATAAAATTTTGTTATCGATTAAATTTCTAGTAATATATTTATTGTAATAATTAATGAACGAAATTGATTTGAGATTAAATAAAAATAAAATCTAAGGATTATAATATTATTAGGTTGATTGAGTAACAAAATTAAGTTTTTTATTTCAAATTTTTTTAAAATAATTTTACCGCTATAAGTTACAATAATCGTATTGTTAATTATAAAATTATATTTTTCTATCAGAGACACTGAGTGTTTAAGCGTTAATAATAATTTTTTTCTGCAAATCAGGAATATTTTAATAATAAATTTCCAATTTGATTTGTAGTTTAATTTAAATATTCAATGTTTTTATCGTTTTACTACAATTTGTTGAATTAATATCATTTAAATCATTAATATAATTTGCGAATCTTTTATTATGATTTTAGAAATTGTTTAATTAAGAGAATCTAAAATAATTTTGTAATTAAATAAGAAGCTTATTAAATTATATTAGGAATTTTCACAATTTATATATAGTATCTAAAGGTTTTATCAATTATGTCTCTATATATACATAGTAACATAACATTATCTCGATATAGTTGTAAATAATTGAAATGAAGATAATAAAAATTTACAAATAAATCGGTGTTTACTTTTATATTTACATTATATTAAGATTAATATCAATCAAATCATTTAACGATTAATTAAATGTAATCTAATATCGGTAATATGTAAATTCAATTATGACGTTGAAAATAATTAATTTCTTAAAATCGTATTTTGTATTTCACTGATATAAACATATTGGAATGTCAGTTATTATATGATTTTTCGGTTGAACCAGAAATAAATAAAAAGGGTATAGATAAATATTGAGTATGCACGCAATGTGTGTGTATACTAATAAATAAGAGAGGGTGTGTGTATGCGAGAGAGAGAGAGAGAGAGAGAGAGAGAGAGAGAGAGAGAGAGAAAGAGGAGAGAATGATAGAGCATGTAGACGTTTGGGAAATAATAATAGGAAAGAATGAGAGTATTTAAGAAAGAAAAATATTTAAGTAATCTTAAAACTTAAGTAATTTTAAAAAACTATTAATGATTTAATTGTTATAAATACATCAAAATATTTTATATACACGAATAAATTATAAAAATTCTTAATTAATTCTAAGATAATGAAGAAAAAAAGCCATAATAATTTAAAATGTTATCATTTCAGTTATTATTACTGTTGATTATTGTTATTTTCTTTATTGATGTATTAGTAATAGTAATTCTAGGAGTACTAGAGGTATTAGTATATGTATATCCCACGCTATATATAGAAAATCTGTATAGTAAATTTACTCTATTGTTATTTAATTTGTTTATCTATTTATTATCCTTATTTATTTTGCTTATCTATTTATTATCTTTATTTATTTTTTTTATCTATTAATTATATACTAGTTATTTTTATGTTTTGTAATCATTTTTTAAATATATTAATTCTTTTACTATCTGGGCTGCAAATTTCTATTATCTCCTCCTTTTCCCTAACATTGTATTTATAATTTTTTCGTTTGTCGGTATATCTATAATTGAACACTATGCTACCTTTCTTGCCGACTGTACTATTAATCTTCTTTTTAGTTCTTAATTATATTTTACTTCTCTATAATTATATTATCTTGTATTTTATTTTAATCATAATTTGACTGAATAAGTACGCAAAATTAATATTTATTTGCTCTAAACATTTTTTGAAAAAGAATAATGCATTCCTTTTAATAAATTGAATATATTTAAATATATTTAGATCTTGTATGCAGATTAAAGGTGCAGTAATAATATATATTTAATAGTAAATACTTCCTCTAAGACTTTCATTTTCATTTGCACTACTTCTTATCCTTATTTTCTATCAATTTACAAAATTAAGACACAATTCTTATAATATAATGAAGTTTTTAAATATAATATTAATTCTAATTTTTATGCAGGTTATAAACTTAACTGATATAAAATTCATTTTCAACGTATTTATTTGATTTTAAAATCATATTGAAAATTTTAATTAAACATTGGAATATAGCTACATTATAATCTATAATATTATAAATGATACAATTTGATCGAGAAAGTTTATTTATAGTTGATAGAGTCGAGTCAATATTTAATATAAACGGTCTTTGTTAGTCAACAGAACTTCATTATATAAATTTTTATACTTACACAAGTCTATATAAACTTATTTATTGTATTGTTCTCTTTAATTTTATATTTATATTTTTATTAAAATATATATGAATCTTAATTCTTTATTAGAAATAATTTTGTACTTTAAATATTTTATTCAGAAAAATTTGTAGTTTTAATGAAAAATAATAGATATTTCATCTCTAATATATTGACCATATTTTTAATATTACACACTATAATTCTTCATAGATTTCAATTATTTCGTTAGAATATTAAATATTTTTAAATAATTTATTTGACAAATATGGCAGAATCTTAAAATTTAATTTGTAATAATTTAGATGTTTAAAGCAATCGAGTCTTGGAATGTAAAGGTTAAAAATCAAACAACGAATAGATTTTAACTACAGCTCAATTAGTATTCTTAAACAAATTTCTTATACAAATCATATGCAGTATCTATTCGGATATGTGGGTAAAACGTATTTGATATATGGATACCAATTTTATATACATTATATTTATAGATTCTCTTGTTATTAAAAAATCTACAAACGAGAATCTACAGTCTTACAAAATGTGCGGATAAGTAAATGATGAAATCAGAAGTTTTAGCGGTTAGTATTGTGCTGCATTAAAGTTTTCCAATTATGTGCGCTTAGTTACCTCGATGACGTCAGACTTACAATCAGATAGAATATAATATTTGATTAATATCTGCTTCTGAAGTTTATCGACTCTTTTCATAAAAACCGTATATAAAAATATAAGGATAGATTTGCGTATGCATATTGGCGAATTGGCGTTCCTAAACGTCTATGTATATACGGGGTACATGTAATATATATATATATATATATATATATATATATATATATATATATATATATATATATATATATATATATAGAGAGAGAGAGAGAGAGAGAGAGAGAGAGATAGAGAGATAGAGAGAGATAGAGAGAGAAACACAAAGAAATAGTGGAGAAAAAACAATTTAAAAAGGGTATTGAATAATTATCTTCTATATAAGTTTTTGTATGCTTTAAAGTATTATCCATTTTCCGCTGTAATACGGCCAAATGTATTGATAGTGATGAAATATCTAAATGTTTAATGAGCAGTTTTTCCGATTTGTAAGAAATTTAATTATATTATCTGCATGAGTAAATTTGAACGATTTTTTTAATTATTGGAAAATTATCGTATCTCCTACGTCAAGTTAACATTATACGCCAGGTTAGATTATTAAATCCATGAGACTTATTTTTATTTTAAGATTTGGATGAATTAAAAAAAATGGTTAAAATAATTAAAAAAAATGAAAGTAACAATAAAGTTCGTCCGATCTAAATTGTAATAATATAATAGCTTTATTAGAGGAAGGAATATTTATCGCTGGAATTGTTTATTATAATTTTGCAAATATTGATATATAAGTAATAGAAAATTAATAAAACTTTTTCAGAATATATTGTAAAAATTATAAGTTAATTCTAAAATATTGGTTTTTATCATATTGTTGCCTGAATTTATTTATTTAATAATAGTTTAATAACGTTTCTTTAATAATGTTAATTTATTTAATAAATTGATTGATTTTATAAATTAATGATCAAATAAGTTATTAGTAATAAGCCACTCTTAATAAGATGTTCTAATATATTTTTTCAAGTATCTAGTAATTTTGTTATGTTAATTTTAATTTTATGTACATAAAATATATTTCATTAAATTTTTTTTATTTTTTATAATTTTACAAGTGCCTTTTATTGATAAAATCTTTTTAGAATAAGGATAGATAATATTTAGTATTATTATATAAAATCTAATTGTCTAATAAAATAATATTTACGTTTTTAGGATATAGATTATGTTAACATTTATTTTTATTTCATGTTGTGATTTAAAACAAATATATTAACGGACTTTAATAATAATCTGTATAAATATTATATTTGTGTCCTTCGAATACTTCTTCGGAATTTTGTTTAGTAAAGATAAGAAACATTTTTGATGAAAAGATTTTTAGACAGAAATTTATCAATTTGAATTCGTAAACGTATGAGTAATAAAATGAAGAGTTCAATTTAGTGAAATATTGAAAATTAAAATTTTCATATTCTTTTTTTTTACATTTTATTTGC